CTGATTCACCAATATCAGATAGAAATTCTAGGTTAACTGAAGCAATCATATTAGTTAAGAGAGATATTCGGGTGACCTGATTTACCAATATCAGATAGAAATTCTAGGTTAACTGAAGCAATCATATTAGTTAAGAGAGATATTCGGGTGACCTGATTTACCAATATTAGAAAGAGATTCAAGGGTTGCCTATAGTATCTTTGTAAGGCAGGGGAGATCTTGGGTGACCTGATTTACCAATATTAGATAGAGATACTAGGGTTACCTTAAAAAGAATTTCAGTTAGAGAGGATACAGGCTGACATGATGTACCATTATTAGTTAGAGATACTATAGCTACCTTCGTAGTCATGTTTGTTGGAGGAGATACAGGGGTAACCATATGTGTGAAAATTAGATAGAGAAACTAGGGTAACCTTAGTAACCATATTAAAAGAACATAATTCTGGGTTGGCCTGGAAGTAACTATTTTAGATACAGGGGACCTGTTGTGCTAATATAAGCTAGACATGCCAGGGTTACCTTAGTAACCATATTGTATGAAGATAATACTGAGTTAGCCTGGAAGTAATTATATCATATGAAGGAAATGTTGGGGCGACTTCTAGTTACCCTATTTGATCAAGCATTCAGAGATAAAGACGTCATACAATGGCGTCATTTTGTTGTAATATTCAAGAAATTATATCAGAACTATAATGTTATCGATGTGTAAAAGTGAAAGGTCTTTTCTCAAATACTTGTGTCGCGTTACTAGCTACCTAGAGTAACCATATCATAGTGACACATACTGACCTGTACATCCGTTTATATATTTCGAGCTTGGATGTCACGCAGAAAAATATTGAAAAAAAATCAATCTAGAAGTCAAGTCGCCTATATCGATTGTCACCAGTATTATACCAGTATAAATGAGCGTAATTTGTACTTTGCCAATATGTTAAGTACTAATAGTTATTATCAGTTGTCTGTTGTAGAAGTTGCATGTAAAATACGTTATCCCCTGGAAAACAAAAACAAAAAATCTTATTAAAAGCCTACATTAGTAAGTATTGATGTCAACAGAGCTTTATCAATCACGTATAAAGCTTGACTGATGTGATATTGAGCTCAAGAGATAATTTATCAGGCTGACTAAAAACGTTTATTATGTATTTTTTTATTTTCTTCATTTTTTGATATCAAAAGTATTTCACAAAAAAATAGTTGTAAAATCAGTATGTCAGTAGAAGCTAAAGATTTCAAGTTGAATGATAACTTTCTTTGAAAGGACACCATTTGTTGTGTCAGGGTGTTAGGCAAAGGATACCACAAAACCAATATTCACCAACAATTCTGAGATAATTATTTTAAGGTTTGTTACATTTCAGGGTTTTTTTCAAATATGAAAAAAACGGGTGTACTTTTTATTTAATCTTGAAGAATAAATGATGAATTTAAATAAAGTTAAATAAAAAGACAAAAAAAACAAATACATATTCCAAAAATATACAAAGATTTATTGTATTTTGTATCCAATCTGTGTACATAAACATGCTTATACCATTGAAAACTGTATTCTTGTAAACATTCTAAATTACCTCAGATATATGTTCAATGTACAGTGGTGTGTCATAACACTAAAATCTCAAAGAAACAAGTTGGCTTCTGTATACTAAGTATTATATTCTTTCTACTTTAAAAAAAAGCACGGCTATTCCTGAAGCATATATTTTTTTATGTCCGACCAGTCTTCACAATGTATAAAACAATATGATGTAATGATAAACAATCTATTTTAGATCAATTCATTAATTATAGATCATACATGGAATTTAGTATAACGAGTGTTATACCGGTAGCACTCAAATGATATGTTAATTTGGTTTAGATTTAACTCTGTAATGTCCTAACATTCCCGTTGGTGATTTAATTGTTTTTTCTGCAAACATTGGGGAAAATATTATTTTCAACTATTTTATTTAATTACTTTCGTTTGCCGAAGGTTTGTCGGGCTACGCATTCTACAGCTAGGATTATAGCTAGGATTTTTATATTTATGATATGTAAATATTTTTCACAGCGTCATAATTCAAACGATTAACACCCACAACATTTGCTTTAAAAATGAAGCNAACCCCCCCCCCCCCCCCCCCAAAAAAAATAAAAAAATAAATAAATAAAAACACCAAAAAAACAACAACAACAAAAACAAGCAAACAAACAAACATATTCAATTACTTTAGAGAGATGGGTGGGGCCAACGTTATACTCATAAACTGTGATCATGTCAAATGTAAATTTTATGTTGGTCATTAATTCTATTAATTTCATTTGTTTGTTCGTTTATTTTATGTTTTTGTGCGAGTCATATTACTACCAATTACACATACGTTTAAATGTAGGAAGGAGTGCGTCATATACAGTATTTTATAAATCCTATACTATTTATTTTTCGTTGTTGACACATGACACACTGCATATTTAGTATAACTGTTTCATGCACGACTTTCTATTCATGCTAAGTGTTATGTAAAGCTACACCATAAGTGAAAAACGATTTCAAAATGCTTAAACAAATTTACGATATTACTTAAATAAATCATCTCACGCTAAACAAAGAGTACCTTATTTGTTTAATTCGCACTAAAGAAGTTGCACCACCTAGATGTACATTACTACATGTGAACGATATAAAATGACAACTACAACACTTGTTTACCGGCAACAAAGCGATATCAAACGTATTGATAAGTTACCCTCGCTGGTACAAGATTGTTAAGATAATATGATTTTTATCTTATAAATCAACACATGTCAAAACAGTATAAAAATATGTTTTCTGCTTAGATTTCTGTACTTTTAATTGTAGTGACAATTCAAATCTAAAAACCACGACATAAAGTCTCTCATTTTATTTGCCACCTAGCTTACTGCCAGTTTTTCTTTTAAGTTTTATTTCACATACTTCATACATCTCCCTAAATGTATGGCCAACCCTAGCTTACCCCAAATTTCTTTTAAGCTTCCCTTATCATTATTTGTTTGTCAAACTTTATCGCCAAAACCCCTTAATAATGCATTCTTTTGCGGACAGAAGATGGTAGCATAACGTGAATTTTCTGCATATGAAATAAAAAAAAGAATTTGACGGATCTTTATCAACTGTTTCATATCATATTCAGGAAAGGGAAAGGTACATTTGTATTAATGTTCCGTGTCTCTGTAAATATTGAAAAGCAGTACTAACAGAAATACGTGTTTATCACATTAACTATCAATATCACACAGCAATAGAATGAGAAGCATTTAAAAGATGGGACAATGCCAGAGGTTACATATATTCGTTGACGAAAAATATACAATTATACACAAGTGGTACATTTGTACATGTAGTTATATACAATTATACATAAGTGGTACATGTAGTTACAACATTAAAACGCTTCAAGACTACGATTTAAAAAAAAAATCATAAGCATAGTATGCGAAAATCAAATGGACAGTCTAATAGAAGCACATTGGAGATCGGTCTGGAATGAAGTTATAAATCCATTATAAAAAGCGAGACAGTATTATTTTACTGTATGGCACAGTATTTTGGTAATGATTGTCTTTGCACAATGTCTATATCACCACAGAGTGTTTCATATAATTTCCACTCGGCACATGTAACAAATCCGCTTTCGTACTTCGGAGTAATTCCTAGTCTCACAAGGTACTTGTCGTTATAATCAGCATCAGGGCGTGTAATACCCTCCTGGTTCCCTTTGGCTGTTGTTTGATGAATAGCCGGAACCGTTTCCGTTGCATCTATGACGGTCGCTTTAATTCTTCGCGCGTGTGATACTATATAGTTATCATAAGCACGTCGACCAATCACAAGCGGCGGTACATCCGCCCACGGAAACCATTTTGTTGTGAAAAAATAATCCGCAGAATGGATTTCGAAAAGCTTCCCTCGTACATTGGCCGCTGCTGCTATGTTGGGAAATGAAGCGGCTTCTTTGAGGGATACGTTAGGTACATTTGTTCTGATACCAGATATAAACACAGATGTTGGAGACTTGAATTTCTGTGCGATCAAATCAAGGGAGTCGGGTAATGCATCCGTAAACAAGATATCACTATTGGCATAACCATAAAATGTTGAGTTTATGTTTTCTATCACGGTCTGAAACATTGCTTTTAACACCGGAGCCCCGCCAGCCGCGTGGTCCATGATGGGATACGTCTTCCAACCATATTCTTCTGCTTGAGTGGATAAAACACTATCGTTTGTAAATAAAACTAGAGTAAACTTTGGTGAAAATCTACTCCAGTTAGCTAATGTCTTTTTGTGAACTTCATGCACGTGTTTTTCGTTTATCCATGATGTAAACAATGTAAGTATTGGTTGAGTAGTGATTTGCCCGTGTGGAGAGAACAATAACCTCCGAGAGTTACATTCGTGAATTAAATCTCTGACCGTCTTTCGGAAGTCGATAATGGACGCTGCTTCTTTTTCAAGAAATGAATTAGGGCACGATTCTGATAGATGTTCTGTTATAGAATGCTTGCCATTGCTAGCTATGAAATTTGCTGACATTTGAAGAAAACTGTTGAGGGAACATTGAGGCTTTGTATTAAGTCCTTTCCACGAAACAAGGAATACAAAAAGATTGATAGCTCCAAGCACCGCCACAACCGCCAAAAACTTCTGCATTACTGCTTCCTTTGACATGGCACTTTTACCAGTGTCGTCTGCTCTCCTTGTTAAACTCTTTGTTCATAGTCCACCAAAGTAATATGATTGCCTAAAAAATACAGAAAACGTCAAATATCATGTTTGCTAATAATGCATATCAAAGGTTTTTTACGACTTTGTACAATTCTGAAACAATTTCTTGAAACATCGTTTTGCGTGTAGTCAATAAACATTTTTTCAATCTTTCCATAGAAAAGGTCGTCGATCAAATGTAAGTGGATTTAATATGAAGTCTTAGAAATATGAATATACCTTATCGCAATCAAAGTTTTTTTTATAATATTTTTCAGGATCACAAATATTGACTATATTGTTATTTGAAGCAGCTGTTTTTGGTCTTATAATGCAGTCAAACAATATTTCGAAAATGGGGTTTAATAATATAACGAGGAATTATGCAATCAATGACAAAAAACATTATTTCCAAAACATTTCGTGTCAGTACAGATTTCAATGTCACCCTATCACTACTATCAAACAGGGACATTTTGTACTTTCCAGAGCAAAAATACTCTATTAGCATGTACGTTCTTTGTACATCAAAAGAAAAATGATGTGTTATAACTCGTGAAATGAAAGAAAATTGATCACCGAGTTGCGATTGACTACCCAAAATATAAACGGAAAAACTCTAAATTATTAACCTTATGTATATCGGTTTTATCGGTATGCAAATCAAGTCAATCGTATGTTCCCGTGAAGTTGTTCCAATTTCTGACTGGTCCGTATACTACACGGCTTAAGACTGTACGCCTTTGAGAAGTCTTACAATTCCTGTATTAAACGTTTTAGGATGCCCTTCCTTTACTGATGATACGTTACTCTTCTCTGAATGATACCAGTCATTGTTACTTAAAACAAACGACTTGAACCCCTAGAAAGGCCTCACAGAGAAACTTGAACCCTTAGAGAGGCCTCACAAAGAAAAGTGAACTCCTAGAGAAGCCTCACAACGAACTGTTAGTTGTACATGTTACACTGTTCAGTAACTTAGCATGGGTACGAGAGTACCACTCGTAAATCGACATTTTATTCCAAAATAAACATTTTGTTGAATCTCGTATTAAACAGAACAGTGAATAGGACACACTGCATGCAATATTTAAAATATGGTCGTGCTTAAAGTGGATAAAAGCTACCGAGCTGAAAGTTTTATGAGATTATACCTCGTCTGTTAAGTGTTGGTGTATATTGCGTGTCCATTACAGCAATAAGGCGTCCCGATTGCAGGTCTCTGCATGTAATGTTTTTTGCAGATGGTGTGTGTGTGTGAAATAAGAAACTATGGGTACATTCTCCACTCTCAACGAGGAAGTTTAAATGTTTATGGTTAACAAGGTGAAAAAAAAGAAATAAATATACGGTGCGAGCACTGATATCGTAAACAACACAAAATATGTCCGGTTGAAAATGAATAAGAAATATTTTCTTTAAATGTTTGTTTCACTTTGTAGACTATTTAAAATTGTAAAAACCGCCCATGACATCAAGTCCACTTTAACCGTATAATCAAAAAAGTAATACTCTAGTGCCTGACAATGTTGATAAGTGTCCTCTAGTATTGATTCAAGGGTTCCGGCGTGTCATCTTCTTGCATCTTTACATCAGTTTTGCATCCAACCTCTTTTTTTAAGTCAATTGCGTCTTATTTCTGTTTCTTCCGTGTTACTGGTTTCAGCCCTTTTACTGATCTTTTTCCTTTTAATCATTCTCTTTGACATCGGGTATATGCATTTTGACATTATTCTCGTCCAATTTTCTTTTGAGTGTATCATGTTAGGGACACATTCGTCGAACATTACTTTGTAGATCGTGCATGCTTTCCAAACATCAGTCCGCAGTCACCACATTCAGTCATTTTGTCGGGAAGTTCTTCGGAAATATCACTCTGATAATCTTCTAATCCGTGTATCAAGCCGACCTCGGAACTCTAGGACCTCTTAAGAAAGTTTCTCAGAATGTTGACTTTGCAAAATTTCCAGGTGTGTGTTTTTGTTTGTATATCGATGACAACATTGACATTCTGGCGCATCGATTCCAAAGTTATCGAAATAAAATACTCATGTTGATTTCCGTATTGCTTACTTGTTTTTGCTTCTTTTTTCTTGATATAAGCGCCAATGTTACATGAATAAGTGATGGCTACCATTCGTAATCAGTCTATTGATATGAGGATCTGTTCTTGTTTTGGATACGAGATAATCCAATTTTATCAGATTTCTTATCTTGGGAACTATAAACTGTTCTTGCTCCGAATCCATATGTTCGGCATTGGGTTTTAAAGTAGCTTGGATGACAGAACAAGTTCAAGGTCTTTATTACTTTGAGTCTTTCAACTCATCAGTTACAAGTAACAAAAGTGCAGTATTTACAGTGCAAAATACTAAATAACAATACACAACATTACACACTCACAACACAATTACAAACAGAAAAAGTACAATATGTATGGAGAGTGCAACTAAACTATTTATAATAAATGGATTCTTCTCGAATTTGCAAATTTCCCTAACTTCGTTATTTCTTTTGTATTTTTCACACTCAGTAGTCCTCAATACGTTTTCAAAACATTTGCTCGCAAATCAGAATAACATGGGCATTTAAGAATAACATGAAACTCATCTTCAACATCATCTAAATTGCACAAATCATACACTCGACGATTTCGCTCAGTGTTTTGATATCGACCTTTATCTAAATCTAAGTTATGAGAAGATATTCTAGTTTTTGTAATGTCTTTCAGATATTCTTTTGGTATGGGTTTACGCATGTAGTTTTGATCAATATTATCGTAAAGACATCTATACGCATTCGCTTTTGAGGATATTCTAAAAAAAAAATGCACATTCTGAAATTAATGAATAAATCTTATTGTCGTTAATATCATATTCCCAAACATACCCCGGGCCTATCCTATATAACTCAGCTTTGATGTTCATTATCCATGTATCCTTATTCTCTACCATTTCATTGTAACATGATTTTAAAATACAATATTCAGTTCTTGTCAATTTCATCCAATACTTTAAAAAAAAATCAATTTCCTTAATAATGTTAAAGGATACCTACCAAATTCTGAGTACACCATGGCATTACACACATGTTAACGTACACTAAGCAATCTCTTACAAAACATAGTATGAACTTTACCGACATCAGGGGCTTTAGGAAAACCCCATATTTCAACACCATAGCTTAACATACTATTAACATATGTGTCAAAAGCAGACAATTGAGTTTCAGTATCAAACGTTCCGACATGCACTCATAACTGCAAATAATGCTTGTTTTACCTTGTTCTGACATTTTTTGTTATATTTTCCTAAACGTCCCATTGTAAATTTTACAAAACTCCCAAGTAATTGCACACAAACGTTGCCCTCGTGTACAGAGCCATAATGATAACCTCTGTGGGAGAGGTACTATTCTTGTCTCATTATCCTGAAGTTATATCTCCACTAAGTAAGTTTTACCCACATGACGTTGACAATGAAACAGCTACGGGGAATGGGTGGTGCATTTAATACGCTCCCACTTCAACTCTCAACCAAGAAAGAATACAAACTACACGACTTTTCAAATTATCACTTCTGGTGAATTCCTTCTTATATAACTTGCAATGACGCATGTTTTTGTTCCTTCGACGTCTAAGAAGTTCTCCCCCTTCCCTTTTTACCCTCTCTTCCGCCTCCTCCTCCAGCAATTCCTTCTCCCCCTCACAACATATTCTATCTTAATACATCCATAAGCATCGATAATTATCAAAGCAAAATAGAAGGGTTTTTTGACGTAACGGGTAAACTCCATGGTAACACTTCAACTTGACAAATATGGCGTACATATGGGTGTGGACCTGTACAACTGCATTGTAGCCAAATTTTTAACACGTATAAGTATTTTACACGAATTAAATTTAGATTTTGGAACGTATTCTGTTATTTCTAATCGTTCCAAAGATATTTGCATTGAAAGTGTTGTATAAATGGATATTTTTTAAAGGAAACTCCTGTATGAGATGTGTTATGTATCATGACATTTTTTCAACACTTCAAATACAGTAGGTTGTGTAACATTGTGTAGAAAAACGTACAGCACGTCATATGAATACTGTCATATAAGGAGCCAAGAGTAAACGATACAGTTTATCTGCTACCTCGTCAACATTGAGTGTGATGAAATCCTGGTGGTTCGACATTAAATAATATGAAGGCATACAATGTAACATGATACTGTCCTTACAGGTAAGTACAGGCGACTCATTTCGCCTCGGGGCAAGTCTGCATCATCCCTTCTAAATCACAATAAATACCGACAGTTCGGTAACCGCTAACGCACACAGAGAGAATCCCACAATATATTCACTTTTTCAATATATTATTATCATATACATATGTTTTAGAATTGTCTAATATTACTAAAAATAACAATAGGCTAACTTACCTGCACGAATACAACACACGCTGTTCGCTAACTCTCCGTCCCTGCTGAATGTCTTACCTTTAATGGGGTTTTCCCATGCAACCGCTCCCATCAATCAACGTAGTCTAGGGAGGGGGGCTGTCTCAAAGGGTGTTTTCCCATCACCTGCGTGCCCTTGTCTGTGCTTGTCAGCTGTTTTGGTAATATAAAACGCTCAGCAGGAGAGGCTAGTCGGCGAAGGAATTCGATGTTTGATGAGATTTATTATGGCCAAGGATTTTGTTTGATTTCAACGATCATTATATCAGAGTGCATATATTTTAAACCGTTGTCGATACACCGATTTTGGCTGGAAATACTAGAAATCTTGCTGTACGGCACATTTTTTAACCGACGAGGTTGCAAAACTTCAAAGGATAAGGACATGTCTGCGTTGAGTAAGACAACTAAACGAAATTGATATTCTAAATGCAAAATACACCTACAAACAACGATAGTCTTCATTTCCTAACAACTGTCTATCATAATCATTTAGCTGTCAATGTGTTTATTGTCCTGAGCATTTATCTATCACGGTGTTAATTGTCCTGAGCATTTATTTACCGAGGTGTTTATTGTCCTGAACATTTATCTATCACGGTGTTAATTGTCATTTGGTGGATATTAAGTCACTTATGCCGCCGAGCCTGCGAGATATGTTGTTTGTGACTGACACGTTCCTGACCATCCTGTCCAGTTCGGTCCACTTGTCTTCTATCTTCGACAAAGCTACGTATATAACACATCGGTCGAAACAATGGAGAACAGAGCAACATCGAACGTATTTTACAGTTGAAAAATGTTGTTGATTTTTATCCGTAATGTATCACAAATTGATGTCTATTCGTCAGGAGAATGCGAACTTATAAAATGCATATCAATAAAGTATTACGCATCTTCCCTTCTGTTTCTTCACCATTTTGGACCCTAGCATCACCAATGATCCCTAGAAGAACGAAATAGCTGTATGGCGCATTGTAGGTTTTTTTCATTCTGTATTTATCACAAAATTACAAATAACAGTCGTATGAGTGTGTCTTGTGATCATACTCTTGCCTCAGATGAAACAATGAACGTCATTAGTCGCATATCGTACTAAGCTCACTTTAGGTTAGAATTCTCATCCGAAAAGTCAACTGAAATATATATATACATGTGATCTGTAAACCGAGAAGGGTGTATTTTAATTTCCTCAACGATAATTAAGAAAATACTTGCATAGGTCATCTTGCTGCTAGCAATAAATACTCGATTGCATTAAATTATGTATTATATCTTATGTCTACAATCATTATCAGTTACATCCAGTTATCCTAAAGACCATATAATATGCAAATTAAGCAAATGATTGTTTTACATAATGTCCAACTTTTCTAATGTATTAGGAACAAAACTGTCCGCTGGTTTAAGATGCCTACGACATAAAACGGTGCATTAGCTGTATCGTTACTAAAAACAATGTTAGTTATACATTTAAACAAATATCTATCAAACATATAAAGAGTTTCCAAGATAACATCTTTTCTAAGTTCCTTGTCCTCTCTTGCAGTGATCCACGGCGGAATTGTCCGTTTCTTAAACTTTTATATATTATACTATACGGAACCCGAGAAGGGATATGGTAAAAGAAATATTATCCGAGATTACGGTTTTAGTAAGCCCAGATCGCGGATTACTAATCTGAACAGTCGGATTAGTTTTGTTTTCACCTTGTCTGGTCCTGGGCTTTGTAATACTTTGTGACATACAGTATTTTTTCATCACATGACAAAAATAATGTCAATTTGGGTCAGAAATATAATACATGTACAAATCTCAGAAAAATACATTCAGTATTTAACCTTCTTATACAATGAAGAAAATTGTGGACAGTATAAAAAATATGATGTGCACAGGTAACAACGTCAAGGCAGACGTCACTCCTGTCTCAACTAGAGCTGTAAGCCACAGGCTAACTAATACCCCCGCTCCTATATAAACCAGAACTGTACGCTAAAGGCTAACTAATACCCCCGCTCCTATATAATCCAGAACTGTACGCTAAAGGCTAACTAATACCCCCGCTCCTATATAACCCAGAACTGTACGCTAAAGGCTTACTTATTCAAAACAATATAGTCTCCCACCAGTAATTAGTTATGGTAATCACTATTTCATTAAAAACGAAAAAAAAATAAAAAAAAAAAGAGGAAACAAGTATTTCGCACAAAGGGGCATAACTCAATCAAGGGTCGAAATCCCAAATTAAAATGCCGGTGGACAACTACATAAGATACTGATCGTTCATGCAAAGTTTCAATGAAATCCACCTGTTAAGGAGAAGTTGCGCGGACAAGTATTTCGCAAAAATGGGCATAACTCCATCAAAAAGGGTCGAAATCCCAAATTAAAATGCCGGTGCATAACTACATAAGAAACTGATCGTTCATGCAAAGTTTCAATGAAATCCACTTGTTAATTAAGGAGGAGTTTTCCGGACAAGTATTTCGCAAAAAGGGGCAAAATTCCATCAAAAAGGGTCGAAATCCCAAATTAAAATGCCGGTGCACAACTACGTAAGATACTGATCGTTCATGCAAAGTTTCAATGAAATCCACCTGTTAATTAAGGAGAAGTTTTCCGGACAAGTTACAGCGGACGACAGACAGACAGACAGGGTGATTCCAGTATACCCCACCCACCCCCACCCCCTAACTTCGTTGCGGGGGTATAATTAAGTATTAGTATTCACTCGCTTTGAAAAAATAAACTTCAATAGTTTGAAAGGTAATTTTATTCGTAAAACGCAACATATTCAACAAATGTTGAGTGTACTTCGATGATAATCATATCTTCATTTCAGATTAACCTTTCGTGCGTTAGAGTATGAATATGTAGACTCCATAGTCATACTTTGTAGCATGTGAATGTCTCGTCATGGAACAGGATATGAGGGTCATGTTACACATAAAGGAACAAATATACAAAACAAACATAAGCTGTTAGACTCTGAAATCAACAAAGTTAACGTGTAACGAGTGTCACGAAAAAATACTGTGAGAATAAAAACACAATTTCAAGCGTAAATGCGCATATGGAAAAGTCAATGACGATAGGACTTTTGGAAAAATACTTGTTCTGCTTTGTTTTATAGTTCATTGTATTCCTCCGCGCAAATCTTCTATTTGTTTACGTCTGTCAAATGCCGAAGATTTGCGATCGTTGACCATTGCGCTAAGCAGTCATTTGGAAAAGATGGTGTTCAGTTGACTTTTTTAGTTTTTTTAATTTTTCAGTTGGTAAAAGAAATATGGTTTATCTGAGTTTATTTTCACACTGCCTGATAAAGTTATCATTGTCCCTTCATTTTATACTACCTTATCCCTACAGTGATAGACGGGTAAGGCGCTGGTGGGATTGTCTGTATCGTTACCTTATTACTTTTGAATAAATAGTGAAAACAAATTGCTGTTGTAAGCGCGAACTGCTTTAAAGATAAGTGAATTTGTGCGAATAAAATGTGTATTTTGGCTGAAACCATAGACTAACGTCATAGAGTGGGCATGGTGTAAAGTAAGTAAGCTGCAAAACAGAAACAATTATATTATTTGATAAGCACAAGGCTCCTTCTCATTCATCATCCCATATTAATAACCTAATAAACAGCAAAAACTGATATTTAACCAATGAAAATATTTTGATTGATTTGAATTTCGAAAACAAATTGACCAGAACGTGGATTCATGAATTATAATGCAGAGCTTACAAAATTGTGAAATAAATGCCAACGCTTATCTAACCGAGTGCTGAGAACATACATGATTCATAGATCACGGAAGCAGAGTGAGCTATATGTGTACTTGGTTTCCTGTATGACCTTATGAAGGGAATAGGGGCCCGTTCAATGGAAATGAATGGCAAATTCATATATCTATGTAAGCTTTGGTTCCATATCGTTATTAAATATCTTGCTCAACAAGACCTTATAAAGTATATAACGTATTGAAACAGATTGGACAAAATAATTCAATAAAAGAAACAGCCAGTTCCATGAAATTCACTTTTCCCCAATGTTACAATTGTGACGTTGCAATGATAAAACGCTACAACTATCAGCACAAAACACAATTATTTCATTGGGTAAACGAAAATGAAAATTAATCAGAATAAATGAAGAAATTAATAAAATGGCTGACGAATGAGAGCTGCCCTGTCGCGTGACGCATTCATATCAGGAAGCAACGCATGGTTCTCACATCATTTATTTATAGCAAATCCTACTCTCAACCGTTTTCATTAACTTATGGCTTTGTACTTTTTAATAGTCGCAAGAAGAGAAACACATGTGACGAATACATGTTGTTTAATGGATTCAGAATATCCAAATTGAGAAATGATTAAAACTCATAACAATCCATTGTTCAAATGTCACACATTAAGAGCAATGCAAACTCTGATATTTTCCTTTTGTCAGGCGAACATTTTCTTATTATGTCATTTGGTTTTATGTTTTTATTTAGTTTTCAAAGGTTTTACGAAAAACAATGTTTGCATTATTGGCAGGACAGGCAATCTTTAAATAAATCAGGTTTGAAATGAACTGTTCAAATTGTTATCAGCCACACGATCAATCAACCAGACAAAGCAGACATGGAAAATGTTTTTAACTGCCACTGAAATGGACAATATGAATTAAAAAGAAAAAAAAAAGCAATTAACATATTTTCGAGGTTATTAGAGTAGAGACTGTCTCAAAAGCATTTATTGAGCTACCTTTAATATTTGAATTGCAATACTATTGTTCATTTTTCAAAATTCAAATGATCTCAGGTCAGTTATTAGGAGAAATGTTTGCAGTGCCATTAGATTATGTTATTTATGCATTCCATTTTACCTTTTGAGATGTTCATTTTATATCAAATTACGCTATTCACAAAAATTGATTCCAGTTGATGCAGATTCAAACTCAACGTGGCAGATTTGTAACAGCACCATCCGCTACGAAATATAGTTCTACATATTAAGTGAGGATACAAACAATGTATACGTTATAATTTT